TTTTTTCTTTCATTACCTTGTGGGCCATGAAAGATATATTCATTAAATTTAAGCTGTTACTGGTGATTTTTTTTGTCTGAATATTTTTTTATATACTCATTGTGAAATTCTACTTCTGTGATATAAATGTACTTCCAGTGGAACAGATAAATTTTTTAGCTCCTTCATAAGTGAAATTATTTTCATGTGATCTCTGAGAAATTCCTCCTTTCACAGTTCTCTGTTTTTATGCAGGTCCGCACGCTGATACCGCCAGTGGATGCCAGAATTTGCAGTGTGGTTTTCGAGCCTGCTGCCGCTCTGGCGAATGACCCTTGACTTCTGACCTTTGTCTACTTCATTTAGCTGAGCAGGCTTCCTTTCATGCACTTTACTATAGCACATTTCTTGTGTTAACCATCCCTTTTTGAGTGTGACTTGTTTTGGCCCCATTTCTTACAACCTCAGAAATCTTAATTTGCCAGTGAATTGTACAGTCTTGTTTCTCTTGCGAATTATATTTTTGTTTTAGAAAAGAATTAGGTCTTTTCATAAGAGTGAGAACAGTCTTATCAGATTTCTTTTAAATGAAATGCTTTGAAAAGAATGTTATTAATGCCATGCCATTTAAAGTATTTTATAGATTATTTTGAGTTTTAAAGTCAATGGGGGTTATCGGTTCTCTTTATATATAAACACTGTATCAAGCTTTGCAGATCTTTTCAGACATACAATTCTGAAGATTTATTTTCAAAGAATGCACATTTTAGAAACTAATCTCTTTTCCATAATGTTTCTTTTATTTGAACATTCTCAGAGGGCCAATTGAAACATACCCGCATCTAAGATTCTTTAAGATGATGGAATAACCCGGTGTCTGCTCGGTGAGCCAGCAGAGCCCCAATCTGTATGGATCTGCTTTCTTCAAAGACCCCTTGTTCTCGCCACTGTCCCTAAACTGTCAAATTTGGGAGGGATTTTTAAAAATTCCATAATTATTTGAAGAAATGTATAAATAAAATCTACTTTGAGGACTTTACCAAGTAATATCTGTTGTGTTGTGATTTTATTATAAATCTGAATTCAGGTTTACTTCAAAGTAAAATAAAATTAAATAGTTTTTTGTTTTTGAGTATCATGCAATCATGAGCCCCATGAATAAACAGTTGTAGACAGATACTGAAGTTTGTTGAGCTGAATTTTCTTATCAAAAATAGCTGTTCAGGAATCAAAATTTGAATTTGTAAATTTATCTTTGTTGCATTCTGAAGATCAGAAAAGCACGTACTGGGTCAGTTTTTTGTCCTGCTATGTGTAATTTTATGAAGGAGAAGATGACAAAGTGTGGTCTGTTCTATGAGCCGCAGGTGTGTCTTGGCCTCCTGTGCTTCCCAGTGCTGCCCTGGGAGAGACGGCAGCTTCGCGTCTGGCGGTTCCCTGGTGCCTCCCTTCCAGCCGCGTGCACTCTCTGTGTGTCTGTCCCAGCTTGGTACTTCTCACAGTATTTCATATTTAGTTATTATTATTACATCTTTTATGGTGATCAGTGTTTTATTTATTTATCTATTTTTTGAGACAGGGTCTCTGTCACCCTGGCTGTGGTCCAATGGTATCATCACAGCTCACTACAGCCTCAGTTTCCCAGCCCAAGTGATTCTCCTGAGTAGCTGAGACTACAGGCATGCCCCACTCTGCGCTGCTAATTTTATCTCTTTTTGTAGAGATGGGGGTCTCACTCTTGCTCAGGATGGTCTCAAACTTCTGTCCTCAACCAGTCCTCCCACATCAGCTTTCCATAGTGCTAGGATTACAGGCATGAGCCACTGCACAGGGACTGATTAGTGATCTTGAATGTTACTGTTGTATTTGTTCTAGGGTGCCATAAACTGTGCCCAAATAAGATGGAGAACCTACTTGGTAAATACTATTAACTAGAGGTAGACGTGTTTCAGTTCTGGCTAAACATATTTTACACAGCATTATCTAAAGATGAATCAGTTGATGGAATTTACATAATGCACACTCACTGCTCCTTTTCTGAATTTCAGTTTGCATTTGGATTCAGCACTGCAAGGGAAGATGAGCTCTGAAGGGAGGCTTTCTAATGGTGCTCTGTTTGAAGTTCTTCCTCGCCCTGGGGATTCTCTCATTTTGATTCCACTGCTTTTAACACTTGCAAAGTAAACACAAAACCCTACCAGTTTCTTTCGTGTTGGGTAGGGTGGACCATCTTACCTTTTGAGTTTGTTCTCTCTTAAGTAGTCCCATCTTGTGTGGCACCGCATCACCTACCTATCTTCTGTAAAGTCTGTTCCCAGTACAGAGGGAAACTCAAGTTAGTGCGTCCCCTAGAGAACTTGAAAGGAAGTCTGAGCTTAGTGGGGAGTCACAGGGCAAGAAGTTTTATTTTATAATGTTGACTGTGCTGTATTTTTATTTCCCTCTCTGTTCAGTAAAGCTTATCTGAAATTTTTACATCAAGAACTATCATAAGACAACAGAGTATTACAAGAAATCTTTTAGGGTGAGTCCCACCTACTAGTACATCATTTTATCTGTGTTTACGTGAACCGTACGGTAAAATTCTGGCTCCAAATCACCACCTGAGGATTAAAGTGTGTTCCACATTTCATCAGAAAACTGTAGTATTTGGGGGTAAATTTTAAAAGTATTCCTTATGGAAAAAAATCATGATGATGTTTCAGGACTCAGCTGAAATGTTATGTGTCATAAATTAATTAATTCTGAGCAGCTAATTTCCTATGGTTCCAGGAATTGAGCTGTCTTGTCTTCTTTGTCTTGTGCTTCTTGATGTTAGCAAACCATTAAACCAGACTTCCCAATTTTGAAACAAATCGACTTTAATATGTCAGCAGATGATAATGTCAAAATTTAATGTTTTTCTACCACCTATCCACATCCCCAATTACATGGGAGCATGACAACATAATCCATGTTTAATTTTTACACATCATCACTTCTTTCCATTATTAATTTAAAAGAATAGTTTGTTTAATGAACACTACTTATTTTAAATTTATCCTGGATTTTGTGATTGATTTCCTTCTAATAATAAAATCCCACAGTTACGTAAACTGACTTGTGGTGTCTGATAAACCTTCATTGCTCAGTGCTGGGAGGTGTTCTATGTGCGTTACATATGATAACCTGTTCCATCATTACAACAGTGTCGTGAAATAGGTGATCTGCTCATCCCAACCTTGTACATGGGGAAGGTGAGTAACCTGAGGATTACCAGCTACTAAGTGGCAAACTGGGATCTCTCCAGAGATCACATTCTCAGCCACGTTTCTGTTGGTAGCAGTTGCGGGTCAGTCGTGGGACTCTCCTTGGAAGAGATTGTAGCAGAGGTGTCAGAGGCATGTAAGCACATAACTGCATATAATTGGGTAGAAGAATGCATAAGAAAGTAAAGTAAGTATGGAAGCTATTCCTTAATCAGCCCCTTTTATTTTTCTGATTTTTTCTTAAATTTGACTTATATTAGTGGTTCTCTAATGGAGGCCTTTTGCCTCACAGAGGACATGAAGCAGCATAAGGCATTTTGGTTGTCACACCTTGGTAGAGGGAAGGACGCGCCTGTCATCTAGTGAACGAGGCCAGCACGTGCTGAGCATCTGCCAGAGCACAGAACAGCCCTCCGTGATGGAGGAGCACTTGGCCCCCAGGTCACCTCCTCACTAGTGTGAGACGTCCTGCTTGATGTATTTCTGTTTGGTGTACATCTTTCTAGTTCAGCATGTACATTTAATCCTTTTTAATGGTTCAATGTAATATTATATGAATATGCTTGTCTTAGTTTTGGCTGCTATCATAGAATTCTGTAGGCTGGGTGGTTTAAACAACAAAAATTTATTTCTCACAGTTCTGGAGTCTGGGAAGTCAAGTTCAAGATCCAGTGTCAGGTAAGGTAGTCTTCCTGGCTGTGGAGGCCGACTTGTGCCCTCAGTGGTAGCGGGCAGTTGGCAGGGAAAGGGAAGGAGAGCATGGTCTCTTGCATCTCTCTCATGAGACTCCACCCTCTTGACTGATTACTTCCCAAAGGCCTCATCTCATTACATTGGGGGTTAGGGTTTTATTAACGTATAAATTTGGTTGGTGGGGCACAAGCACTCGGTCTATGAGTGTCTTTTTTTTTGAGACAGTCTCACTGTGTCACCCTTGATAGAGTGCGGTGGCATCACAGCTCACAGCAACCTCAAGCTCTTGGGCTCAAGTGATTCTCTTGCTTCAGCCTCCCAAGTAGCTAGGACTACAGGCACCCGTCACAATGCCCAGCTATTTTTTTGTTTTTGTTTTGGGTGTTTGCCATTTCTGGCCAGGGCTGGGTTTGAACCCACCACCTCCAGTATATGGGGCTGGCGTCCTACTCTTTGAGCCACAGGTGCTGCCTGGCCAGCTATTTTTGTTGTTGTTGTTGTTGTCATTGTTTGATAGGCCTGGGCTGGGTTAGAATCTGCTAGCACTGGGGTATGTGGCTGGCGCCCTAGCGGCTGAGCTATAGGTGCTGAGCCCTTTTTCTTTCTTTGTAACTACTTCCCCTTTGATGACTGTTGGGACCTGGTCCTCCCCCCCAGTCCAGCGTTGCTTCAGTGTGCGTGTCGCATGTGAGCACACAGGAGCTCACTTAGTGTTTCTGTAGGATGATGTCTTATGAGGTATTCTGTATTAAAAGTAAAAATTTGTTATTGCAAAATTGTTCCTCCTTCCCTAGAAAAGTTGTATAGTGTCCTATTAGGTCCTAAAAGTGGGATTGGTATTCTACTGGACAGGCAAAGCAGGAGGAAGAGCGTCCTAAGGGGAAGGTGAGTGGTCACGGAGGCATAGAGGCCTGAGACTCAGACTGTTCCTGCCTGTTCCCCGTGGTAGGAAGTCTCAGTTGAGTTTAGAGTCACAGTGGCAGGGAGACTGCTAAATAAAACACTTAGTTTGCATAGTTTGAAAACAGATATTGATTTATTTTATTTTTGCAAATAACATGTTCTGTGATCAATATAAAAAATTATCATACCCAAGTGTGGTTTTTACATGATATAAAAAGTACAATAAAAAAATTACCTGTTGCGTATAAGGGAGGCAACATAGATCCAGACAGACAGGACGTTTTTGGGATACGGATGTATGTAGACCGCTAAAGCAAACTCGACATTAGGGACATCGATGTTGTGCACCCCGGTGCTGTACACAGCATCAACCAGAGGCTTCACCTCAGAGTAAGGCATGTGAAGAGGAAATCCAGAGAACTGAAAGGAGAAAAACAAAATTTGTAGCCTTCACTGAAGAGTGAAGATTTCAGTGTTTCCCAGTGGAAATGTGCACAGTTCTTAATAATGCCTTCTGGATCGCGAAGTTAGTCGTGTTTTTCTGTTCAGCTATATATTAGCAATACGGAGAGCAGCTTAGCACCTGGATTGTTGCTGGCCTCCTGGAGTGTGAGGCATTCATGAGTCACTCTGCCAGTCTCCACTGGCCCTCTGGTCCTTCCCTCTCATAGTCCCCAGCATGCTTAATAAACCATGTAATTCCAAAGACCTAGGGTAAGCTTACCAAGTCATCCCATCCCCCTGGCCACAGTGATTGAGCTGCAGGAATGGGCATGTGATTAAGGGAGTCTCACACTGGCACGTGGATATCCCTCCTGCTTTGGTAATACGTGTGCAGATGTAAGTCCTGAAAGTGTTCCAGCGCTTACTACCCTGAGGAAAGCCGGCCTGGTGATGCTGTCACATGGAGGAGGAGGGCAGGGTGGAAAGAACTGCAGAAAAGTGGGACACCCCTGGTAGCTGCTCACTTCTTAAGTTTTACTTAAGTAAGCCATTGAATTTTCTATTCATGCCTGTTTGAGGTAAGTTCTCTGTTACTCAAACTGAAAACTTTCTGGCTAAGAACCTGGTTGTAAGTTAAAGGATAAGTTTTACTTGATGAGTAATCCAATTTGACCATCACAATGTTTAGCCAGGAAGGTTTACTGTCTTAATTATGAAACTGCTTTCTGGCTATCGGATGTAAACGTACAGCACCATCAGGAGGGAGCAAATGCAACTGCCATTAAACCACATCCTTTAAAACCCCCGATTTAGAGTGTTTATTTTCCTCTTTATGCACAGTTGAGTCTAACGTGATTTAGCCAGATGGATGTTTTCATTTTATTTAATACTTGAATGATTTAATAAAAGGCATTATTTTTCATGGGATCCATTTATACCTAATGGTGGCATTTTCATTTTATAAAGCATTTTGCTATTTAGTAATAGGTTAATTATTGGTGGTTCAAAACTTACAGCATGCCTTTTAGTCTATGTTGGTTCATCTGTGTCCTTGGGGGGGCAGTGAAGGTATTTTGATCCCCAGAGCCCATTGTTGTGTAATTTCCCATTTGAAACGAGGAGGTCCAGAGGCTTTGGTCGGGAGCCAGCTGTACTCACCCTGTAGTCTCCCAGCTGTCTCACCAGTTCTGTTCTGTGGGTGTCTTCCACATCCTCCCCGCGACTTCTTTCTAACAAGGGCAGGAAGTGGCGGAGCGTGGAGGTACAGTACCTATTCCACCGAGTCAGATGGCGGGGCCTCCAATCCATGATTTTTTCTTTCAGTATTTTTTCAATCCTGTTCATAAAAAATAAACTCCATTTGTGTGTGTGTGAGACTTCACTTTTCCATTGTAAAAATACACAGTTGATAGGCAGTGGGGATTCAGACGATCACATAACTACAGTAGAACCTCCGTAGTTGACCACCTCTCTATACTGACCACACCCTTAAGTGGACTGAGTTTCCATAGACCGGATATGCACCACATGGACAAATCAGGACAGTCGGCCTCGTTCGTGATGTCGGCCACCGTATGTTGACTGTGTTACAGTCCCTTGGGTGGCCAACTTACCGAGCTTCTACTGTACATGTTTGTGTATAACTGTGTAACTTACACGGGCTAATCTCTGGGTCCTCAAAAATTAACACAAGGAATCCTATCCTTGAGGATCCTGTGTGAGTTGGGATGGGAAATAGACCTACAAATGGGACGTACGTCTTTAAGCACCTAAGGTGGATTCCACAAGGTCCACAATAGGTACTTGAAATGTAACAGAAGAGGGAGTGCTGAATGATAGGGGGAGGTGGAACAAAATTTAACACATGGAGTAGCAAAAGTTTTATATCATGAAATATTTTATGATTTTATTCATTGGTAACAGCTGCAGATAAATTAGACCCAGGTATGAGGGATGGGGCTTATATTAAAAGAGTTAAATACTTGTGGGGCTGTTAATGTCTTATATTGTTTTTTTTCACCAGTGAGAATCTCATGACAATAGATTTTTTTCTAAATTCCCTTAAAACTTCCTTTAAAACACCAGGTATCACTGCAACTTAATTGGGTTCATAGCATGTGAAGCTTTAACAGAATGGAGGAAAATAGACAGCACTCACGGAACCGCTGTTCATCAGATTCACTCCCCACAGTGACCCTGTGAGGCAGGGATAGTGCCCTGATTTTACAGGTGAGGGGACGGTTTGTGGTAGGATAAGTGGGTTAACTAAGGCCAGGAGACTGGACTGCCATCCGTCCAGATTCACCTATTAGAAACCCGGCCAGCTTCCCACTGCATAGTAGCTGTGGGGGCTGCTTCTTTGTTGGCACTTAACACGTATCTGAGTTTCAGATGGGCTGAGCAAGAAAGCATGGATGATATACTTTGTGGGAGAAGTCCTTTTCTATGGAGAAATAAATGTCAAGTCTAGTCAATAGTACACTGAAACTTAGAAGAAACAGAAGGTTGTTCAGAGGTCAGTTGTAGTAGGTGGGAATCCCAAATAAGAATTCATGGAGAAATTGAGAATAAACTGTTTTTTCTACTAAAAATGACTTAAAAGGGGTCACATTTAACCTCATGTAACTTGACACGCCCTTCTTCACACAGTTACTGTAGGAAACAGCACTTAGGCCTCAAAATCAGAAAGATCAGGCTGGGCCCAGAAGCCCTCTTTAAAGAAGTATGAGCTTCAGTTTCCAGACTTGTGAAACCAGGAAAATAAATTCTATTTTACAGGGTCATTAGAATTATGAAGATTCATAGAGCCTCTTACTGGCCTTTTCTGTGTGTTAAATTCAAAAACTAGCTGCAGTTCTGTAAGCCACTAACTGGACAAGAGCAGCACAGTAAGCAGACTGGGAACCGCAGGACAACTGGGTGTGGGGGTCTCAGCGCAGGTTCAGTCTTCGGGGAGCTGAGGCCCCAGCACTCCATACCGGCCTGTACCGCAGGGTATTGGTGCTCAAGGCACTTTTTGAGCCATGAGATTTAGAGATCATGTGTGTATGTGGAATCTATAAACATGAGTTGAAGCTTAATTGCCTAAATTACTTTGCAGTGATGCAGGCCAGGGGTCGTTTATTTTGGCATTACAGTCCTGGTGACAGACTCCTAGGGGATTTACGGATATTACGGTACCTGTCTTGTAGCTCAGCTGCAGCGCCTTCGTCTGTGCGCTGGTAAATCAGCTCTTCAGGCTGCCAGAGAGAAGAGTTGGGAAATTCTAGAAACCACCTACGTAAATTTGAATGACTGCACATCCTTTTTAAAATTTTTTTTTTAAAAAGAATGACATAATAAGAATAATATATAAGAATGTCATAAGAATACTATAATGGGTGCCAGTGTGCCCTTGACCCATAACAAGTAAAACTTCACGTAATGTTGTGTGCAGGCAGTTCCTTCACAGTTCTCTCTCGTCATAGAAATAAACATGACTGAGCTTGTTTTTTAGCATTCTGTTCAACAAATAATTGAGTACCTGCTGTGTGCTGGGCACTTTCACAGGTCGGGAGGAAAGGAGATCTGGCTGTGAATAAAAATCTGTCTTCGCAGTGCTTACCTTAGATGCACTAAGTGGAGACAGACGAATCCAGTGTGTCTGTGATGTTATCATAGATAAATGTGCCCCAGGTGATACTGTTGTTTTGCTTTTTTTTTGAATTTTACAGTTTTATTAACATGCAACTGGCCCTTTCTCTCTTAAAATATTTAGTAGTAACAAACACGTCCTTTTAGAGCACTTACTAAGACTCATTAATGTTTATTGCTATAAAATATTCCACTAGGTACCATAATTTATCTCTCATGTCAGTTCAATTATGCTATTTCAAATAACGTTTCTTTGAAAAATCTTTTATGTGTTACCTTATAGATATACAGGAGAATTTTTTTAGGGTAGTGTTCAAAGCTTTTTCTGAAGGGTTTGATCTGAGTATAAGACACATTTTAACCCAGTGCGTGTGTATCTATCAAATGAAACAAAAGCTTTGGTAAACAATGTTCATGCTGACTGCCTACAGTTTACTAGGAGGGCCTCTAATTTTATGGGCCCCTGGTGGATCACAGCTTGCAGTCTGATTTCATGTTTCATTAGCAGTCATGAAATCAATTCAGTGACTTGAGATGAGCATTAAAAAAAAGTAAATAGAATGTATTTTGTGATACTTTTTATTCATTGCACTTCTTATAGCAAAATTTTTTCTTTCACAGTTCGTAAGTTGGGTTCAAATATGTTTGAAAAACAAACATTGTTCTAGACTAAATACCTATTAGTAGAATGAAGAGCAAAAGAATACCTGGCAGCCCCGTCCATATAACAGGTTTATATCCCTTACTTTCTTTGTCTGCACTTAATTGATTATAGAATAATTATACCTGAACACTGGAAAGGCCAGGATATGGAAGGCTTCTTGAAAAGAAGGATTTCCACAGCTTGGGCTTGGTAACATCAAAATTTATCCTTAGTGGAGAATCATATTGTTGAATATTAAACCAAATCTAAAAAAGACAAGACTCAATGAGCATATGTAGTTGGCATGTACGTGGCTGTATGTGTGGGCGTCATGTATGTATGTGTGATGGAAAACGAGAGCAAGTGTTCTGACAGGCTGCAAGCTTTGTCATTTGTTTAATTAGTAAAATTATTACGCATTTTACAAAAGGGGCTTCAGACAGTTGTCATTTGCCTTGGTTTTTTCTTTTTTTTACTTGAGTGTCTCAGTTGGGGTGCGTCTTACTGTTGAGTGTAGATTTGATGAAATAAGGTTGTTTCTGATGATAAGAAACAAACATTTGGGGAGAAGACAGACAAAGCCCCTCCTTTCTCAGGCCGGCCTTTGTTTCTTGATTGTCTGCCAGCCTCTTTGCTTTTACAGAAACCTGCACAAACAGGTCTGGTCTGTAAAATTTGGATTCAGTCTAAAGGCCACACTTAAGGATCCACAAGTTCACATGTGGCCCCAAGACTGTGGGTTCCCCAGCCCTGTTTTGATGCCCGAGCATATCCGTGGGTAGAGAGGGAGAGAGGGAAAAAACAGTGACGCTTGGAAGGGAATGGAAAGACAGAAGCAGCTGGAATGGGAAGAGAATTATTTCTTGGAAAAGGACTGAAGGAGGAGAAAGAATGAGATCCAGGGAGGTTGTGTGGTGGAGCCTGGAGCAGTGGAGGTTACAGGGGAAGGAGCAAAGCCAGTGTGGGGCCCTCTCCGAGTGGTCAGGGCTCAGAGCAGGTCTAGAGCTGCGGCCATGGGGAGTGTACGCCTCACAACCCATGCCACCCATCTCTCAGAAGAGGGGAAAAGAAGGTTCTCACTTCCTCACAAAGCTCTGGCTTCATGAGACTTAGTCAACCGTATAGCAATTGTTTTGAGAGCTGGTAATAATTTTGACAGACAATGGAGTTCTTTGAAGGGTTTTTTTTTTTTTTTTTTTTGGTGCCTATTGACCCTGTTTGATTACTAGTGACCTTAAAATGATTCTCTAAATGTAAATGGAGCTTAGCAGATCATTTATGATTTTGATAATGACTTTAATTAGAAATAATTACTAACATGAGAATAGAGCTTTACAGTGCTCTTTTTGCTTTTGTAATAGTGCGACAGCTGTCACTTGCTGAACACTTATGAAAGACAGTCCTTTTGCACATACATTCTGTCTAATTTTAGCAAAGTAGAGCAGTGGTCTTCAGGGAAGTGTGCACACCCAAGGATTGTAGGAAGACGATCTTGGAATTTCTAATTTTTATGTTTAATTTTTTTGTATAATATACTATATTGATATACAAATAAATGTAATATAGAAATAGAAATATATTAGAGATGCACAATATATGTGCAAAATATTTTCACGGACAGATGTGCAAACGTCAGAGACTGCTAAGGTGGGTGAGCATCATAAACCAGCCGTTCATTCACTTGTTAGATTTGCTGCTACGTGGGAGCTGCTTTTCATCCATTACCTCCCTCACTCCCAGCAACTCCTTTACATTTATAAAGTCATGACTTTGGTGTTACTTTTATTTTATCAATGAAAAAATCGAAGCTATGCAGGATTAAGACACTTTCCCAAGCTCACACCAGTAGTAAGCGGTGAAGTTGGAGTTTCAGCTGGGGAGTCTGTTTTCAACCACTGCTTTATGTAGGACCCTTCACAAGTAACCTGCAGACTGAGTGGGACCAGAGTTACCTGGGGATACTGATTGTGGGGTCCAGGTGGTACCTGGGAATCTCCCTTTAAAAAAGAGAGAGAGAGAGAACCCCAGTCTTCTCAGGTGATTAATCCACCTCAGTTAGTTCCCAAAACACTAAGAGTTAGGCAATTTGGATGAGAAAGCTGAGGACAGAGCCAGGACACAAACACGGGTTCTCGGAATTAAATCCCACATTCCCTCATCAACTTTGTTCTGCTTCTTGGCAGTCAGGTGACTAATTCAAACATTTATTTAACAAAGTCCTGCCACTGTGCTTGACATTCTATTTCTTTAACTTAGGCATCTTCAAACTATGGCCCATGGGCCACATGTGGCCTGCCAGGACATTTATCTGGCCTGCCGGGTATTTTTGCCACCTGTCTTGCTTAGCAGCCGACTCGTCCTGGAGCCCGCAGTCCGGCCCTCTAACGGTCTGAGGGACAGTGAACTGGCCCCCTGTTTAAAAAGTTTGAGGACCCCTGCTTTAACTGGTACGTGTGTACGCAGAAGTGTGCGTGGGTGAGATGGTAATACTTACATTATCAGGACCTATTAAACAGCCTACATTTTTCAAGGGACAGAATGTGTCGAATTGTCCATAAAAATGTCCACTGCACGGATTCCATATTAAATAATGATTTTTTTCCCAAGTCAGTACGTAGGCAGTTGGACCCTGGAAGAAAACAACCATTAAAGCAGCTTTCAACTAACCATGCAGTTAAGGTCCCCAGTGGTTTGCAGAGACAAGTCATTCCTTTAGACGTGCCCTGAATTTCCAAGTTCCCATGGTTAGTAGTGAAAATCAGTTGGACATTCTAGGTGGTTCTGGTTTTAAAAAATAAATCAAATGTTTATTTCTGCAAAATTCTTGCACCTGATACTAGTGCAGTGACCAATAAGGACAGCAATCAGCTTATCCAGCCAGTATGTCTTAGGACTGGCTAATTATTGTTAGCTTCCCAGACTGTCTGAGCGATGATAATGGAGAATGGACAGGAATATGATCCTACCTTATGATCCACCTCACGGCAACTCACACTGCCTAGTTCCCCAGGGTTCCTAGAACCTCTCAATCCATGTAAAGGAATTTTCAAAACTTGCACCCAAATTATCCAGTGTGCCTCAAATTTAGGGATATTTGCAGTAGACTAAGGAAAACAATTCTAATAGTCGTTAAGTCTCCAATTTCATAAAAGTAGCATAAAAATATAACTGTTAGCATTCTTTTTTTTTTTTTTTT